TTACGCAGTTATGTTTCCCCCTGCACTCTCACACCAATAATCCCTTTAGGGACATCTCCTAATTTTGGTGATACGACTTCTAAAGTAGCTGAACTGGATAAAGCTCAATAAGGTAATGAGTGTAACACAGCTACCGTGAGTTGTTTCCCATGTTATTCCTTTGAAGCAGACCATTTCTGAACATCATTTTCTCTGACAGTGCAGTGCTACACGGCTATATCACTTTCAGACTTGTTCAACAGGCTTTAAAGTGTGGACTATGTATAAGATGTGTATATTATGGCATTCTGTAAATCTTCTGTTTATTTTTCTATGTCCTGTATTATTCTTAAGCTCCCTATGTCCTCTAGTGTCTACCTAACAGAATTGCACTAATTGGCAAACAAATACTTGTTTCCATTTTCTTATCTGAAAACATTGCAAAAAGAAAAATTAATTTTCCATCCTACACATTTTCTCCTCTATTCTTTCTTTTTCCTTTTTTACTAAATATTATATTAATAGTGATATTTTTATAGTTATTCTTGTTAAGCACCAGCAGTTTTGCCAATTTTATATGAAATCTTGCACAGAAACATACATGTCTATTACCTACTTATCTGTGTGCTTTCTGGAGATTTTAGCAGCCAATCTGTACATTTTATTGTGAATGTTAATGGCAGGTGTTGGTAGGTATTGTGTACTGTTTTCTTCCATACTGAAGCCCATTTTCATCTCACTCAGGCATGCAAAATTGTCACTGAGGACAACAGGAGCTGCTTCTATTCAACCTAAAATAATATTTGGGTACAAGCCCCAGTATATTTTTACAGAATTTGGATTTTAGCCAACTGTGGAAAGCCAGTATGTGAGCATATAATTAACAACAATATCATAATACAGATACATTAGGAACAAATTCAGATTCCATATGTGACTTTATTTGGGGTGTTCTGAATTCCTGACTATATAATTTTAAAGTGGGATCCAGTTATTCTAGTGTTATCCATTTCAAGTTGTAGAAACTATAAGCTAGTGCAACTAGGCTCCCACTCAAACCAGAAAATTAAAAGTAGTTCTAGAGGATGTCATTCTATAGTACCTACCCAGGAAAAGTAGGATGAATTACTCTGCAGGAGTACCTTACTCTCCACGTGTACTAGAATACTTGTCCATCCTTAACATCCTTTTAAAACATGGGGGTGCATAAGTAATTATTTTAAGTGTAACAAGCCATTGAAACATGAATAGGTGTTTATTAGATTTGGATGCAATTTACTGCACTAGACTAGTGAAGAACCATCGGACTTGGACTGAATAGAAGAATTTGTGTATCTGCAGAAGCTACTTCACACTGACAAGTACTCTGTATTTCTGAAAATGTAGCTTTTGGAGGGAAGGAGGCACTTCCCTGCCATCATGTACGCCCGTTGCTCAGTGGGGTGGAGGTTCTAGTGACGAAAGTCATGGAAATGCTGAGGTACTCTGTATTTACAGGCAATGTTTGTCCTCAGCAATCTCAGGTCCTTTAGCCTAGTAGGAAGGTCTTGAGGGAGGGGAGAATAATGCATGGTACAGGAAGCTAGACTGCTTCAACAAGTTGGACATTCACAAGTCCATGGATTCATCTGGACCTAGCTGATATGACTGAGCAGCCACCTTCTATCATCTTCAAAAGGTTATGGCATTTGGGGACATTCCTGATAGCAGCTGAGAAACAAACATCACACTCATCTTCAAAAAGGACAAGAAGGAGAGTATGGGGAACTACAGGGTGGTCAGGCTCACCTTACACTCTTGGAATATTACAGGAAAATCCTCCTGGAAACTCTTTCCAAGTGCATGAAGAGCTCCAGTCATTAGGAACAGCCAGCTTGGCTTTTCCAAGGGCAAATCATGTCTGACCATGCTTGATTACTTTCTATGATGAGATGATTGGCTTAGTAGGAGTTGAAAGAGTAATGACCACTGAGTACCTCAAAAAGGCCTTTGGCATGGTCTGCCATAATATCTTTATAGCCAAAGTGAGGACACATGGACAGGACAAGAGGACTCTTGGGAGGAAAATTGGGTCAACAGATTGTGATCAGTACTATAAAGCAGAGGTGGTGGCTGGTTAATTACGTCATCCCTCAAGGATCAAGACTGCGGGCAATTCTGTGAATGACCTGAATGATGGGATGAACTGCACCTTCAGCAGCTCTGCAAATGATAGCAACTTGTAGGAAGAACAGTCAATAATCTTGAGGGCAGAGCTGCTATTCAGAGTGACCTTGACAAGCTGGAGAAATGGGCTGACAGGGAACTCATGACATTCAGTAAAGACATCCGGGGTGAAATAACGCCAGGCAGCACTATGGGTTGCATGGGGGCCAACTGGGGAGAAAGCACATTTGCAGAAAGTACCTGGGGCTCCTGCTAGAAAACCAACTGAACAGGAGTTAGCAACGTGCCCTTGCAGCAGAGGCAAGCAACTGCATCCTGGGCTGTATTAGCAGGTGTGCAGTCAGCAGGCTGAGGAAAATGATTCTTCTTCTCTCTTAAAGGAGTACTGATAGAGGGGATTGTAAGAAATGTGAAACTATAACAAAAAGCCTTAATATTTTCTAGTTTTTAGTAGTCTTTAGTACTGTAACTTGTATTTCTGCATGCATAGTGATCTAACAATATAACTGTTACACTAATCCCTGTTTTGTCATTAAGGAATGTATTGGAAGGACAGGGGCACAAGCTATCACTTAGTCATTAGACAAAATAATTAAGTGAAACAAAAGTGGTCTTGATTCTCAGCAAATAATTGGGATAATTGTGGGATAAAAGAGACTCCTAAATAACTCTACTCCAGACAGCTCAGCCTTGGGAGGGCAAATGCGCTAAGCTACAGAGATAAGGAGGCACCAAGAGAGCAACAAGACTGGAGCAAAACAACCTGAAGGACATGATATACGTGATGCTAGAACTGAGTTTGCGCAGAAACAAATGTCAATCAGTGAACAGCGTGATGAAGAGGATGGGCCTTCATCTTGGGACCCCCAAAGACCACCCAAAGATACTAACAGACACGCGTGAAAGATATTTACATATGCTAATTAGTTCCTAGAAATATAATGAATAATTACCTGTGTGATTGTATTTAACCTGAAGCAACAGGGTGTCTGGCGCGCACGTTTGGAGGAGAAATCCCCCGTGTGCCTGGCACCGCAATAAAGAATACCTGCTTAACAGTATACATTGTACTGTTAGGTTTTTCTTACCGGATCTTCGAATCAGTACTGCACCCTGTCCTGTGGTCCGCAGTACTAGAAAGGCATTAGCACACTGGAAAAGTTCCAGCAGAACCCCAAGACAATTACTGGTCCAGAGCACATGACATAGGAGGAGAGGCTGAGAGAACTGAGTTTTCTCAGCTTGGAAGAGAGAAGCCTAAGCGGTGATCTTAATGCTGGCTTCAACTACATATTGAGAAGGAGTGGAAAAGATGGCACCAAGTTTTCTCAGAGCTGCACAGTGGTAATTCAAGAGGCAAAGGGCACAAGCTGTGACATGGGAAGTTCCGGTTAGACGTAATGAAAAAGATTCTCACTGTGAGTGTGGTCAAACACTGCAACAGGGAGAGATTGTGGAATCTCCATCCCTGGAGATATTCAGCATAAACCTGGAGATGGCCTTGAACAACCTGATCTAAGTGGACCTGCTCTGAGCAGAGGACTGGCCTATGTAGTCCTCAGTTGTCCACTTGAACCTATATTATCATATGGTTCTATGATTCTCTATTTAGTTTCCATGTTGAGTATTAGATGCACGGAAAAAAGTAAGTGAAAAACAGTTATTATATCCTGCTCTCTATTACAGACTTATTCAATGAAATGGATCTACTGTATAATGAAAAATTAATAATTTTATTATTTTACCAGGCTGTTGGGATTCTTATATGTAAAGTCTGTTACAGCAAAGTCAGGTTATCTTTATATTTTAGAATAATATTTATGAACTAAAATTCAGATTCTTGATCTTAATTTTCTGGAGTACTCTTAACATTGCAAAAGTAAGATTATCAAAAAAACCCTATTGTTTATTTACTTTATTATTTAATAAAATTTTGCTGGTGGCAGATTAAAAAATACAAGTTTGGAATTCAGATTTAGTTTCAAACATGCCATTCACCTCTGAATTGACACATTTCTTTTATTTGAAGTTCTCTAAATAAGAAGTCAGCCTGTGGCAGTCACTTGAAATGGAAATTTTTTAGACTAAATAAAAAGAAGTTACCAAATTTATAAGCATCAGAAAATGTGAAGTTTTAGACAAAAAACAACTAACAATGCTACCACCTACACTTGTAATAGCATGCCTTCCTCAGTTTTCCTCAAGATATTGCAGGTCACCTCACTGCTCAGAGGATAAAGAATCTTTTAGAGTTTCAAGCTTATTCCACCTAAACCACTGAAGCCATTTGATTAAATGAATGGTAAGCACCATGCAACAAGAATGAAAGATGTCTACTACAACACTTCTTGGAAAAGAACTTATGAGTCCAATAATTATAAGACTCAGTGAAATTTTTTGAGATTAAATTGCACAATAGACCAGGACAAAACAGAAGGACTGGAAGGAAAGGTAAAGGCCTAAAGAAGTATCAGCAAAGCTTAGTAAATATTTTTTCTCAACTGAAACTGATAAAGGGTTCCTTCTGTTCCAAAGTACAGTATACTATAAAGTACTAATTACAACACTCCATACAAGTTGTTCTGGAGACTCAGGAAACAGATATTCATCTTATCAGGAAGTTTTATTAACCAGCTAGTAAATGGCATAGTACTTCAGACTTTAACACCCATAATTTTGTAGCATACTGCCATATCCATAGCCATGAACAATAAACAAACATATTAAAGCCCAAATGTTAATATCCTAGTTATTACAACATGAGACCCCGATCCAAATTTCAGTGGAAGTAATTTTGTTGACCGTCACAGGCACGTATCAGATAATTCTTGTGCCACAGCAATGCTCAGAAGAGTTCATGATTCATTTGGCAAAATATTATTCTTTCTGATGTTTCTAAATAGCTGACCAGTTAGTGTGATCAAAAATATCTGATAAAGGAAAAAGGGTGAGTTAAAAACAACAAAGAAAGTGTTGATACTCACTCCTGGTTGAATCAATCTGACAGCAAACTTGGCTCCTATGAATGACAATGCAGAAGGACATAAAGGAGAATGATCAGGGTGTGCCTGAAGATATAAACTGAATCCTCTGCACTGGCACAGGCTTGCTGTGTGACCTCCAGCAAGTCACTTGGGCCCTCATCCACAGAAATGTTTTGAAATCTTTTAAAATACATAGAACTTTCTGCATGTTATGATGGGTTCTAATATTTACTTGACAGAAAGCAAATATCTCGGTAAAGTGTACTGCAGAGACTTAGCTATAACATTTTCTAAATTATCTGAACTAAACAGATTGTTCTTAAGCAAATCTGATATTTTTGTATGGAAATGTTCCAGAGTTTGTGCCTTAATCAAAAGGGAATTTGTTTTTTTGTGAACATAACTGAGTGATTACCTTACAAGTAAATGCTTGAAAGAATATTTTCAAGTTTTCACTGATTGTCGTGCATTATGCATCCTGAAATGGACATGCACATTCTCCAGATTACAGTCTATGCTTATTATATTGCTTTTAAAAATAAATTATAAATTATTACATATCTTAAAATAGCTATAAATATAATAAAACTTATAAATAAATGCTTTCTATACTTTGAAGTGATCTTTTAACAATGACAAGGTTTTGTACAAACAGGAAACAATTCCAAACTGATAAGCAAAGCAAGACAATACCAGATGTCACTTGACAACATCCCTTCTATTATCTACTGTCCTGCATTGTAAAGAAACAACCTTTGTCCTTTGAATTTTTGTTCTCATTGGGTAGTACTATTAACACTGGATAGTTTATAGAAGAGAACAATATGTATCACTTTGCTCCAGCTCAGGTGATGATATCTGATGATATCTGGTCCTGTGCAGACTGGTCCCTTGATATTAAGACCTGTAAATGCTAACATGGGCCAGTCTTGGGAAACACATCTCATATTTCAATGCCTTGCTCATTTCTGTTATGCTGTAAAGCATTGGAGATGTTCTGGAAAAAGATAATACAAAGAGGTGGAGACACTGCTGACATTCTGTAAGAAATGAACAGTAATTACAAGTGGAAGATGTACTGTGTACTTTTTATATACTGTCACTTTTTGTCATCATTGATTTGCACAGCATGTTTTTCTGAATGCCAAGATGCTCACTACTTCTTAAACCTCTACTAAATGTCCCTGTGATATTGATCAGGTATAACTCCTGTTTCCTTGAAGTATCCTTAATTTATAACTCCTAGATGATTGACCGCTAACAAGTAAAAACCAAGGCTTCAGAGTGACCAAAGACAAAACAATTAATATTATGAATACTCTGGCATTTGTAAGCCAAGTCTTGGTGGAAAACACATTTCCTGTGTTTTTTTCAAAAGTCCATTTAGTAGCAAAAGTTACATTCTGCAAGACAATTTTTTTAATTCTTGCCATACTGTATGTTGAATCCCTTGGGACATCACAATACCATTTCTTCAGACTGGATTTTGTGCTTGAACTGGGATCTGAGTACTATTGTCTTCATTTCTAGTCCTTTCCCACTCTGTCACGTTGTATCTTTCCATCTAGAATAGAAATCCTGTAACTTGGTAACTCCAACACCTATAAAGATGGTCACACAGAGGAATTTTCACCCCAACGAGTGCTAGCTATTATTTAGTTGATTAAATTAGCTAGATAATTTCCCTCTGTATTCAGTAGAGAGAAGTTTCTGCAGGAGATGATCCACGCTTGTGTATGTATCTTTTCCCATGATATGCACTGGATAGTACAGACTTACAAACAATATGATCTTAAAATATACTTTTGAAAGGAACTTTCTTTTAGACTCAAAATTATTCCAGAAGACATGTAAATAGAAAAAAAGAAAAAATTACAAACCCAGATTAAAGTAACACATTTTGACTATCACCCTTAACCTTCCAAAGTAAATTCAGTGTAGAAACTGTGTGTAAGCAGTAAGCTATACTAAGGTGTGCTCACTGTGAAGTACAACAAAAAGAAGAAAGAAAACTATACATTAAGGGAAACAACATAATGAATGTTGTTTCATACTGAATGAAGTAAACGGGGACAGATTTTATAAAACATATTTTAATAAATAAAAATAAAACCACAGACACTCTGTTTCATTCTGATCTAGAAACTGAAAGACCAGATTTTGAAAACCTTTAGTTATTCCTTTGTTACTTCTAATGTCATATGTGCAAAAATTCTTCACTCTTAGCAAGACATCTTTAGAAAGTCTCCCTATTTCAAGCTGTGTTTTAGCAGCAATTGATCTCTTCTGAAAACCTAGCTCAAACTTGAAGCCCAAAGCAAACACTGTGCCCTGTTCACATGGATTATCAGCTAGCTCTTCCCAAAATCTGTTTCAATATCAGTAACACAAAAACAAACTAAACCATCAAACAGCTTGCAGAATGGAATTCGTGTCGTGTCTGAAATTCCAAAAGTTTTTCATTCTGAATCAGGATGAAACTTCAGAAATGTTTGAATTGTTTTGTGGGATGAAAAGTCTGACATATCTCAGCTCAGAGACACTAAACAAAAGCATAACATTTTCATGTTTTGAAGAATCAGTCCAAGATATACTGCATCTAAATTTTGAAAAATCAGATAACTTAGCCAAAACTGTCCTTTCTCTGTAAAAACATTCAATTTCAACAACTCTCTAAGTTGTTAAAAAATCACCAGCTTTAAGCAGTACATTAAATGTCACCAAGAACATATTAAAATATAGTTCTTCTCTACTACTATTAATGTTCTTAGGCTTTTCATTTTTCTCATGGCTGATGCAAATCATATTGTAAAGAGCTGGAAGCATGTAACACAAGACTTGGGCATGGCAGCGTTTCATTCAACAGTGTGATTACAGTTCGCCTTGGCAGATTTGATATTTTATCTGGCTTAGACGCCAACAGTAACATATCTACAAGACTTCGAGATCTGCCACAATTTAAACACGCCCACCAGGGCAGTTGGTGGGTAGGTAGCATTGCTGAAATCTGTGCTCCCACAATAGTTCAATAAAACTGAGCTCAATTACATAGTCTAGCCACACCATTGACATAATGGGGTCACCATAAATCACTAGAGAAATCACGAATGCATGGAGAGAAGACTGAATTTTCAAAGAACAGATTTTAAATCTGTTTAAAGATTTAAATCTGTTTAAATCTACCCTTTAAATCTAAAGGGTAGAAAGGAAGACCCTGGGAACTACCGACCTGTCAGCCTCACCTCTGTGCCTGGGAAGGTCATGGAACAGATCCTCCTAGAAGATATGCTAAAGGCACATGGAGGCCTGGGAGGTGATTCGAGACAGCCAGCATGGCTTCACCAAGGGCAAGTCCTGCCTCACCAACCTAGTGGCTTTCTATGACGGTGTAACAACAAGGGTAGACAAGCGAAAACCAATGGACATCATCTATCTGGATTTTTGTAAAGCCTTTGACACGGTCACCCACAACATCCTTCTCTCTAAATTGGAGAGCCATGGATTTGATGGGTGGACTGTTTGGCGGATAAGGAATTGGCTGGATGGTCGCAGCCAAAGGGTAGTGGTCTCCAACAATTCCTTTGCACTTTATTTTTAATAAAATCATGAATAAGAGAAATGAGAATATTTTCTTTAGGGAGATTTAGGTTCAACAAGGCCAAGTGCAAGGTCCTACACCTGGGTCGGGGTAATGCCCGCTATCAATAGAGGCTGGGGGGTGAAAGGATCGAGAGCAGCCCTGCTGAGAGGGACTTGAGGGTACTGATAGACGAAAGGCTGGACATGAGCCGGCAATGTGCGCTGGCAGCCCAGAGGGCCAACCGTGTCCTGGGCTGCATCAGGAGAAGCGTGGCCAGCAGGTCGAGAGAGGTGATTCTGCCCCTCTACTCTGCTCTGGTGAGACCTCACTTGGAGTACTGCGTTCAGCTCTGGAGCCCTCAGCACAAGAAGGACATGGAACTGTTGGAGCGGGTCCAAAGGAGGGCTACAAAAATGATCCGAGGGCTGGAGCACCTCTCCTATGAGGACAGGCTGAGAGAGTTGGGCTTGTTCAGCCTGGAGAAGAGAAGGCTGCGGGGAGACCTGATTGCAGCCTTTCAGTACTTAAAGGGAGCCTATAGGAAAGATGGGGACAATCTTTTTAGTAGAGACAGCAGTGACAGGACGAGGGGTAATGGTTTTAAACTAAAACAGGGTAGGTTTAGGCTGAATATAAGGAAGAAATTCTTTACAAAGAGGGTGGTGAAACACTGGAACGGGTTGCCCAGAGAGGTAGTGGAGGCCCCATCCCTGGAAACATTCAAGACCAGGTTGGACAGGGCTCTGAGCAACCTGATCTAGTTAGCAGTGTCCCTGCTCGCTGCAGGGGGGTTGGACTAGGTGACCTCTAGGGGTCCCTTCCGACCCAAAACTTTCTATGATTCTGATTCTAAATATACATTACAAATGCATTTGTAATCTTGAATCTAGACATATATGGTTTGTGAATTATATGGAATCATAAATTATCTTCAGCGTTTGTCAAGAACTGTGTAACTCAGCTCCACAAGAAGCCATATTAAGGGACTCACAACTGGTCTATAGAAGCATATTAAAACATATTGAACTACTAAGCCTTAGTGTTTGTAATTAAAAGTTCATGATGCAGAATTAATTTGAAGAGTGGATAGCAGGCCACTGGTCAAATTCATTGCTAACAACTTCCAAAATAGTTGGTCCCATACAAATGCTTTAAAGGACTTTTCTGAAAAAGGAAACAAATTACATGCTGCCAGGCCACAAAAAAATTATTATGATTAGTAATTTATTATATGTGCTGAAAGTATTTGCAAGCTCATTTGAGGCTTTAAGCATTATTTCTGAGAGAGTCTCACTGCAATACCTATTCAAATGCTCTCACAGCAGGAGCTCTGCTTTCACCTCACAGCATCTCTGCTTGTCTATGGTTCAGGTCAGCCCTGAGACCTAAGCAGACCAAGTGTTTTATGATATCTAGCACTGTCAAAGATATTAGGAAACCCACTGGTTTTTTCAGCTGCAGTAAACTTCAGTAACCAGAACTTCTGCTCCTACATATATTGACAAGTCCTTCAAAATCTCATCCATAATAATCCCTACAACAGCAAGGAATATGCCTGCCTACAATAGATTTTAGCAGTGGATCTTGAAAAATTAATCCTCTACTAAAGGAGCTGTATTTTTAAAGTAAGTTCTGGTTGGTATACACATTTTTCTGGTTGATGCAGTATTTTGGGGGTGATATTTTTGTGGGTGTTTTTCCTTACATTGTGCTGCACAGTGTTCAGAATGTTCCACATGAGTTCCTGCTCAGCAACTCTCCTTTCCGTACTCAGAAATAACTTCATCAGTTCTGTTGTTACACTGATCATGGACAGGTTCATAAATATCTATAGCATTTGATATATGCATATTGATAAGAGTGTAGATGGATAGTACAGTCCTTGGTCTTTTATTGATATTCAGGTTTCTTCAAGGGTTACTTGCAAGCAGCAGTATTCCAATCAGTTTGCCAAATTTGATCTAAAACGCCATAGCCATTGCACTAACAGGAAAGTTGAAAGCATAGGGGAAGATAAATGAAGTGACTGAAATCGCACACATAGCACAGGCAGACACAATGTGATTAGTCCAAACGGAGCCAGAACAGCCAGGGAACACAGTATAAATGCACCTGATCTGTACCGAAATACTAAATCCTATCTCTCATACTTATTTTTAACAAGCACAAGCACCATATAATATGATAAAATAATAAGCGCAAAACCAAGATTGATTCTACACCTAATGTGATACAAACTTGTGTGAGGACCAGACAATCTGGCCAGGACATGTCCCCTTTGGGCTAGGGGAGTTAGCAGCTCATGCTGGCCCTAGGTTAGGCATCTTTGCAGAGACTGTTAAAATACACCTTCAATAGTAATTAAAATGGTCAAGCTGATCACAAAGAGTGTGATTATAGAGAATGTAGCAGGGAATACATGCAGAGAACTCCTAGGCCACTGAAAGGTTTCATTTACAAAACAAGAAAAAAATGAGGTTTCTCCAAATGATTCTCCTTGCTACGGCAATGCTAAAAACAAAATTCAAAAGCTTGTACAGTGAATGATGATGTTAGCATCATTTATTATACTTCAGCAACACTGAATTGAGGTTGAGATCTAGTGCAATTACAGTTAAAATATAAAATAAATTTAACTGCAGTTTTTCAGCCAATTTTCCTAGCAGAAATAGCTGACTCCATAATGCATCCTTCCTGACAATTCAAATCTTTCAATACATATAACCATCCTATAAAACAGGGAGGACCCCGTCATTCTAAATTAACATTTAGTCAAGAAATCATGACGATACAGATTCAC